TTTGCCAAGGAACATATTCAGGCAGCTAACAGACACATGAAGAAATACTCATGATCATTAGCCATTAGAGAAACGTAGATCAAAACTACACCCTAACAAGGCTAGTATTAATCCAAAAAACACAAAATAATAAATGTTGGAGAGGTTGTGGAGAGGCTGGAACACTTATACACTGTTAGTGGGAATGTAAAATGGTACTACCACTTTGGAAATCGATTTGGCTCTTCCTTAAAAAGCTAGAAATCGAAGTACCATACGATCCAGGTATCCTGCTCCTTCGAATATATCCTAGAGAAATAAGAGCCATCACATGAACAGATATATGCACACCCATGTTCTTTGAAGCACTGTTCACAATACCAAAAAGAGGGAAGCAAGCTAGGTCCCATCAATGGATGAATGGATAAACAAATTATGGTATATCCACACAATAGAATACTATGCGATGATAAAGAACAACGATGAAGCCGTGAAACATAACATGGAGGAATCTGGAGGGCATTATGCTGAGTGAATTTAGTCAGTCACAGAAGGACAAACATTGTATAAGACCACTATTATAAGAACTCAAGAAAAGGTTTAAACACAGTAGAAAACATTCTTTGATGGTTATGAGGGTGGGAAGGGAGTGTGAGGGTTATTTACTAACTAGATAGTAGATAAGAATTATCTTAGATGAAGGGAAGGACAGCACACACTACAGAGGAATTCAGCACAACTGGATTAAACCAAAGCTAAGAAGTTTCCTGAATACAAACACTTTGAGGGACAGAGTAGCAGGGGTAGGGTTCTAGGGACCATGCTTTCAGGGGACATCTAGGTCAGTTGGCATAACAAAGCTTATTAAGAAAATGTTCTGCATGCTACTTTGGTGAGTGGCATCTGGGGTCTTAAAATCTTGCAAGCGGCCATCTAAGATGCATCAATTGGTCCCAACCACCTGGAGTAAAGGAGAATGAACAACACCAAGGACACAAGGAAAGTATTAGCTCAAGAGTCAGAAGGGACCACATAAACCAGAGACTTCATCAGCCTGAGACCAGAAGAACTAGATGGTGCCTGGCTACCACCAATGACTGCCCTGACAGGGAATACAACAGAGAATCCCTGATGGAGCAGGAGAAAAGAGGGGTGCAGAACTCAAATTCTAGCAAGAAGACCAGACTTAATGGTCTGACTGAGACTGGAGGAACCTCGGAAAGCATGGCCCTGGGATTCTCTATCAACCCATAGCCGAAACAATTTCTGAGGCCAACTCTTCAGAGAGGGATTTGACTGGACTCTGGGACATAAAGTGATACTCATGAGGAGTATGTCTCTTAGCTCAAGAAGATACAAGGGACTAAATGGTCAGTTTGTGTCCGGAGGTGAGATGGGAAGGCAGAGAGGGTTAGGAGCTGGTTGAATGGACATGGGGATCAGGGGTGGAAAGGAGGAGAGTGCTGTCATAGTATGGGGAGAGTAATTAGGGTCACATAACAATGTATGCATAAATTTTTGTATGGGAGACTAACTTGAAATGTAAACTTCATTTAAACAACAATAAACAAAAAATAATAATAAAAAAAAAAGAAGTGAGGATGGCGAGACTTCATCTTGCTTACTTTGGACATGTTATCAGGAGGGATCAGTCTCTGGAGAAGGACATTGTGCTTGGTAAAGGAGAGGGTCAGTGAAAAAGAGGAAGACCCTCACAGAGAGGGACTGATACAGTGGTTGCAACAATGGTCTCAAGCACAACGATCATGAGGATGGTGCAGGACCTGGCAGTGTTTCCTTCTGTTGTACACAGGGTCGTTATGACTCAGAACAGGCTCAAGGGCACCTAACAACAACACCTGTATATAACTGATAAACCCGATTAAAATAATCAAATAAAAACACTGATTCTCATTTATTTAACATTAACAAAGATTCCTATATATAAAGTCTTTCCTTCACTTTTTTTTTTTTTGACGCCGTGATTGTAATATGTAAATCCTATCTATGGGACCAAGGACATAATTCTGTGAGTACTGAACATATGTATTATTGTTTTTTGTTTGCTTGTTTTTAATTTAGATGGTTTTAGAAGTCAGAGAATAAGGCAATATCTCTATAACTATGGCCCAGAACTAGATACTCACATCACATTTTAAATCAGATGAATTCACTGTTGTTCATAATATTGCTAGTGGTCAACAATTAATTTTTGGTCCCAACAAATCTCTGAGTATATCGATGCATGATCTACAGTATTTTGTTCAGTGTCTGTACTTATACTTATGGATATATATACATACATAGAGAAACAGTTATAGGTAAAGATACACAGTGATTACTATACTAATAAGGATATTTTTCTCAGACTGTGAGAGTATAATTATTTTTTAATTTTCTCAGTTTGATAGAATTTGCTTTGTGATAAGATCAATAACTAAATTAATGGAGATTAAGAAAATGTTATTTATATATCTTTAAATCCATATTGATAATTAAAATATTCAAAAAAACTTCATTTGTTTCCCTCCTATAAATTCTAGTGCAAATTTTTTACTGTCACCATTAATAAACTATTTAAATGCTGATAATACATAATATGTTTATCATAAAGAATAAGTCAAATTTTCACAAGTACGACTATTCATCAGATTTTAGATAAATGAACATATTGGCACAATGTATATTGTCTTAATGGAAGGAGAGAGTTTCTGCTTGGAATTGCAAAAGAAAGTCAATTATGGGAGTTGAGGGGGGAGTAAAACTGAAGCCAAATAATACAGTGTTCCAAGTTTATCCAATATTCTAGAAACTAAAAATCTACTGGCAATTTTTGGAAAATACTCTAAAACTGTAAAAATATAACTTAAAAAAAAGAAGGCAAAAAGTAATATTTCCTTTTTTGCATTTCTAATTCAATTCTGAAAATAGCATCAAAATTCTCTAGCCAATTTTAAGAATTATATAATGTTATACTATAAGATATAGATATAATAAAATGATTGATATAAAGAACTATTCATTTGCATTTAATTGCCATAATTGGACAGCTAACAAACTTTCAAAATAACTGGTCAGAGATTTCTTAAACGGTGGTCTACCAAATATTTATAACATTTTTCTCTGAGTTTAGAAAGCTTTTCCTTGGTGATTTTTCTTGATGATTTTCCTATCTATTGAAAAATATAATAAAGTATATATTCCTATATGAAAATAAAATCTCCTAAAATGACAGGAAAAGAGTCATCTAAGTAAATCTAACATGATCTACAGCGATCACCACTAAAATATGTTTGGTCAAATTAAAACAACTAAGCCCTTATACCAAATCTAAAAGCTTATTTTGTTGCAGGCTAATTGCAAGGTGAAACTGAGGAAGAGTGTTTATAAATAGACTACACCACTGTCTTCTCGCATCCTTCAGACACTTATTAGGCACTCAAAGGGTGTGTACAGATAGAAGACAATATATTAGATGTGATGCACAAACTCTTCAATATGTGAATAACTGAACAATTTGAACATCTAATAATTAGAGAGATTTCTTGCATTTTCTTTAAAAGATTAAACTGGTTTTGAGTCGACATGTATTCAGTTACATTTCTCAAATACTTATCTGGACCGTTCAGTTTCGATAAGAACAAGCAGATGTCATGAAAGCATCAAAATGAAAAGAATATTTCATTTAAATATTTCACTCTGTTATCAAAAATCCAATCAAAAGCAGGAAGTAAATTTATAAATCAGATGTGGAAGGCTAAGACAGTATTAGCTTACATTTCATGAAAGTGAAAAATGGAATCATGAATTTCCCAGATTTTTTTTTTTACAATTAAAGAAGCAGGACATTAAAAAAACAAAACAAAACAAAAACCGCTAGGAGAATAGAACAGAACTTAGCAAACCCAATTAGAAAATTTAGTTGGCATCCAAAGCCCATGCTATTTCACCTCTAGACAGATAATTCTAGAGATTTTCATTCTAAATTATAAAGCCAAGCTTTAAAATCTCGTATGTGTCTTTAAAACAAGTAACTACTCAAGTGAATTACCATAGTATTTATCAAACAACAGGAGATAGTTTATATTAAGAAAGGCTTTACATAGGCTAATGATAATGATTCCTGATAGTTTATTAACATAAAGCATATTCATAAAAATTTGGAAAGTGTATTTAAATTTATAAAAAGACATTACAAATAGAAGCATAAATAATCAAATACCGTTTTTATACTGCAAATTAGTTTTAATCATTTGTACATTATATACTCTTAAGACTTACTCCCCTAGTTAAACAGAAATTAATATCATCAAAATAAAGGCAGGTGTAAGAGATGACAGATAAGTAAAAAGTCTGCATTTGCTTAGTATTTCTACTAATAGTACCAAATATAATAACAAATGTAAAATATGTTGCTACAATTTAAACACACATATAAAAACAAAGAAGACAAAAAAGGCAAAGTTTGTAGTAAACAGATTTTTCTTTTACATAAAAAAAAACCTCAGACCTTTCATTTACCAATCAATACTGTTAAAGTTTCAAATGACAAAGTGTAGACTAAGAAAAGTAGTTAAGCCAGACAATAAGAGAACTATTCGTTTCATGCCATTAAAAAAAGAAAGAAAGAAAAAAAAAAAAGAGCAAGACTCGTCAAAGAGTACTTTTGTTATTCTTCTAGGGAGCGATTCACTAAACAATACATTTATGGTTAAAACTCAGCATAAATTATTTTCTACTTAGGTAGCTCCATAAGAACATACATCGCAGGGATTCTACAGTGTTAGTTTTGTATCATTTCTTCAGCAGTTAAATGGACTTAGTCTGTGTACCCTGAATGATAGGAAGATTTGATACATGTGCCCATTAGCTTGCTTCATTTGTCCCATTTGCGAGCTTCAATGACTGTCCCCCACAGAGCACCAAAGCGGCACAGCAAACCCGTGAAGGGATCACAATCCTACAGAATGAGCTTCACAGTAACTTGTGCTATGAGAAGATGTAAATTCAGAGCAACTTACCGGACTCGGTGCAACAAAGACAATAAAGTTTGCAAGGAGTTGAGATCGTTTAATATTTCAGGGAAATTCAGGATGCAGCCGCTGCTCTAGTCTGTAAATCGGACTACACTGACATTACAATCAACTGTTACTGACAAAGCTCGCGAGAGTTGGCAGCAGCAACTTGATCTGGAGGCAGCCAATCTTTACTTTCTGACATCTGTTCAGAGGCTAACGGTATGAATGCAATAGAGATTCATTTACAAAAGTATTGCCGGATTCATGCTTCAGGATTGCAGGAGCTTGTCTAAGAGGGAAGGGAAAAGATATAGAAGCTTCTTTGACTAAAAGAAGCTAACATTTAACAGAAACTGCGAGTTTCTTAAAACACTATCAGAACTTTTTCTTTTTTATCAGAGCTTTTTATTTCTTTTATAGAATGTATGTTTATCTTACGCTTGTTTTAAGATTTAAAGATGTACATATTGTTCTAAACAAATGCTATTATTGAAATTCTTTGCTGCTTCAATCTGTGCCAATCATGCAGTTATCAAGGATAGTAAAAGAGAAAATAGAGAAGAAAATAGATAAAGCAATGCAAATCGAAAGATTAGTTATATTAACTAATGAATGAATGTCTCTGATATGTCTTCCTTCCCAACCCTCCTCTCAACAGTTAAGTGACACAAATGCTGGCATTGGTAATTTCCTATTCAAGGGGCCCTGGGAGCAGTAAAGTGTAACGAGAAGCCACACGTTTGCGGTCAAGACAAGGAAAATAAACTGAACAGTCTTCCCCAAACTCAGTATAGATTAGCCAGGCAGCACTGTGAGAGCATTCCAGAAAGTATTTACGTCTTCCTGCTATCTTCCTTGAAATAGATACTTGGAGAGGAAAAAAAAAAAAAGATGAATTGTTTAATGTCCAATTCTCAATGAAGTTCGATTCTTAATCTCTTGCTGATGATAGTTTCACTTTTAAATCTCTCAATTTGGGCTCACTAGCAGACTAACCAGTAGGCATGAGTTGTAGGTGAGCCCTTTGTTTTTTTTTTTTTTTTAAATTTAATGCCTTAAAACTTCAAATACAGATATAAGAACTGTCATTTGTTTTGAGTCTACCTTGTGCTAGTTATTATTCTGGAAAATTTACATAAAATCTTTTATTTTATTCCAACAGATATACCAATGTTAACCACAGTTTGCTGATGAGGAAACTAAGGCTTATAAAGATCAAAACTATGTCTTCTACAATTAGTAGTTGTTCGAATCAAAATTTTGACTTAATCATGTAAACAGTAGCCAAGATAATAGCCATTTTGGTCTTTCAAATTTTTATTTTACGTGAAAGTTGCTATATAAGAGATATTGATGAGATAATAAACCTGATAATCATAAATATGTCACTATATTGTAATGTAATTAGAGTATCTTTTTTGTAATAACAACCTAGTTACAAAAGATTTACAGAATACATGGTCTATCTATCTAAGAGGGTCTGGGGAGGATTTTTTTAAAAAGTGCACTGGCAATGATGCAATAGTTTATAAAGTGGTGATGTTTCTTTTTAAAATTTAATTATTCTGGTGGCCCATATGAAAGAAACCCCATTGGTTTAATATGTATTTCTTTTCCAAATGTGAAACTTGTCTCCAATAAAAATCTTCTTCATTGTTTTTTCTTAGTGCTACCAAGTTGATCTTATTCTCAAATTCTACATTTTTTTATCTTAGTAAATTTGAGTTTTTCAGGCTCCTGATATCAACTTACTGTATCAGTTGTATCACACACACACACACACACACACATATACACACGTATAAATGTATTATACATTTATACATACACATATATAAATACACACACGTATTTTCTTTTTGTTTATACATGATACTAAACAATAGAATAATCTGTAACAAGCAGACTTTTCTTTTTAACGTGCTGTTTAAATGGTTTTCTAGCAACATCAACTGTTTAAAAAACCTGACACTTTCCTCTGCTCAATGTTTCTCCTTCAGTGAACCACCTTTATTTTCTGCCCCTTGAGTTCATTTTCTCTCATGATTTCCAAGCTATGCCACATCATTTGATACATTATTTAGACATATTCTTAAAGCATTTCTTCTTCCTGTTTTATTTGAGCTCTTTCCTTTGATATTCAACATACAGCAGCTGCTTATTTTCTGTTTTGTCATCATTTTCTCACACATATCCAATGGGAGATGAAAGTCACACGCAGAAGCCTGGTTTCAAGGTCCATGGGCAAGTGCTATTCCGTTACCTCATAGTTGTGATGTTTAATAATCATGTCATTAAATGTTGAGTGTGCCTTGTAAGTATCACTGATGAAATACCACAGGACACTTGACACGATATTAAGAGTCTGCTCAGATTTTACAACCATATATGCTGAAGCTTGAGCAGGACAACCCTTCTGATCTTGACTCTGCTCTTTGGTACTTAGCCAGTCATGGTGGCTTTATTTTGTCCATTACCAGCAGGCTGATTTTTTTCTAGATAGCAACACTCAAGGAAATTTCAAACAATGTGGGCAACATTAATCTCGTATTAGACATTAGTTTTTCTTAGACATACTGATGGCAGAAAAGTGCCCTGATCTTTCCTTTAATAATGTTTTTGGTTTTATTACAAGGCCACATATTCTTATTAATAAAATATGGAATTCCAGGAAAAGTATATTTCTACATTTTACATACCACAGTGGGAGGAAAAGATCATTTGGTGTTTTACATTTTTGTCTTTTAAACTAAGTGCATGTGGCTAGATATATCTACAGTTATACAAAACGGTAGTAAAATGAGTTATTATCATAATTTTGTTTTCTGCTGTTTTATTTATTTCATAATAACAATTTTCTATTAAAATATTCAATGACAGTGATATTTCATCATATGGGTGTACTATAGTTTATTGCAACATTTGATAATCATTTGACAATAACTTGGCAAGCACTTTGAATATATTAACAAATCTAAAACCCCTTCAGTATGGTTACATCATTTACGTGAATATAGTTTAGTTCATTTGTTTTTGTTTGTATTCTATCTTCAGTTTTTTCCCTTTATTTATTGGCTTTTATTCAATATTTAATGTATTAATATGTGGAGTTCTGGTGGCACAGTGGTTAAGAGTTTGACTGCTAACCAAAAGACTGGCAGTTCGAATCTGCCAGCTGCTCCTTGGAAACCCTATTGGGCAGTTCCACTCTGTCCTATAGGGTTGCTATGAGTTGACATCTACTTGATGGCAGTATCTGTGTACACACTAGACTGCATTACAGGAAAGAAACCTGAGTTTAAGGAACCCAAATATTTTTTAATGGGCAGTATGCATTCCTTCCCTTTGCTTTAAAAGGTGACAATAACTCTGTCCATCAAGGCTTCAAGCAAGCCTGCTGCTTTTCCAGAATGAGATACTTTCTCTAATTTCCAAGGCTGTTCTATATAGAAATATCTTTGAAAAGATAATATGAAATAAAGTTGTATGTACCTCTGATCACATTACGTAAAGAAACACAAGTCCCGTGGAGAATGTTGTCCCACCATTATCCACCCTCATTCCTACACTGTTTTGGCTGAATTTTCCCATGAGTATTTCACTCTGTCAGATATTCTGATTAACCTGACTGATAGAAGCTGGGACCAAATCAATTTATTTGTCCCAAGCAGCATTTAAATGAAGCTACTAGCAATAGGATTCCAAAAACAAGGATATAGCCAAACTGCAGTGCTGATCTCAAACATACTACCCAGTGTTCTTGACCATCCATTTGAATGAATGTATTAAACCATTCGGGCCTACCTTAGAATGGCAGGGGCTTACTTGTTGTTCTGCATTTCCCTTCCTAGTTGACTCAAGGCATTAATCTAGGTATAGCAGGATGTATTAGCAATTGCGCAGAGTCCACCTTGGCCCACAAGGAGGAAGTCTAGGGTGATTTTATTACCAAAAACAACCCTGACCAATAAGTTGAGGCTTATCTGAATATAATACAGGGCTGAACTGGTATCACTGATACTTTAGCTAAAGAGAGGAATATATTTAATACCACCTTTTCTAACTGGATGACTCTCATTATAGGGATAACTGCCCATAGGGTATGCATAAATAACAAGCCAATTATCATTTGGGGAAATCCCTTCAAATAACCAGAGGAAACCTTACCTCTGAAGTCATCTAAGGGCTGTAAGATCTACCAGCAATGACTCCACAGTACTTAAAGAGCTTTTATAATCACCCTTATGAGATAATTCATCATGCTTTCAAGAATCCCAAAGACAGAGTGACTAGGCATTTAGAAGCCAGGCTTGGGAGTCACACACCTTCACTATGTAGTTGCCTTGCATATGTATCGTTGCTTGCCCATATCCTTTTTCAAAACCCAGTGCAGGGGTAGCAGAAAACAGTTTAGCCCTCGACTGCCTGCATAGCCCTTACACAGAAACTCTACTGACAGAATATACCCTAAGGTGTATTCTCACCTAAAGCTTTAGCTATAAATTCTCCTAGAGGTTTATGATTAACTATATAGTTGCATTCTTGCAAAATCTAATCTTAGATACCAGAAGAGTAGGTAATTTTTTTTTCCTTTGACTTCATCAAAGCTAACCACAAGAACGTCATACATCTTGAGCCCAAACTGTGTCAAGGAGCCTCCCTCTTCTTCCGCTTCTCCTTTTCTTCAGCACGTAGACCCCTCTGAGTTCCTCTCTATCCCAACTATATAATCCTTGGGTCCCATGGACCCCTTTGTTCCTTCACCTACAATGTATTAAGAGACCATGCATGCATAGAAGAGGTTTCTGTGACAACTTACCAGAGGATGAAGAAGCTTGTCAGGGGGAACAAATACAAGTTAAAGAGCAGGAGCAATGTGGGCAGCCAAACTAAAGAGTAGAAATGTTGGAGAGGTAGAGGCATAGTAAAGACTTAGGCAAGTTTGCTATTTGAGATGAGGCTTAAGTCCATCCTGAGAATCATCAAATTCTTTAGTAGAGACCAACATTGCTTTCAATGACTTTATAACAGAGGATGTGGGTGTGTGTGTGTGTGCACGTGTGTGTGTTTGTGTGCGTACGCTAATGTATAATAGAGAAACACTGCAAAAACGA